AGAGAGAGAGAGAGAGAGAGAGAGAGAGAAAGTTCAGCTGTGACGTGTATTCTGCTGGCTCTGCACTTCTCTTTAATCTAAGCTTTTCTTTTATCATTTAAAAAAAAACAGATAGGGAGGTAAGTTGGCAAGCTTCTGCAAGCATTTTGCAGATGCACAAGTAGGAGAATAATAAAGAAGCACTGGGAAAGAAGAAACAGACTTAAATATAACTTCCATTTACTTGAAAATACACCTGAATGAATTTAGTAGAGGATATGGCAAAAATGTTTGGGATTCTATTTTTAGCATGCTACTTGCAGTATTATCCTGTCTACTCTGGAAAAGGAGAAATGTATTATATTTCTCAAGTGCAGTTTACTAAGACTGTATTTTCTCTTTTAGTTGCAAATGAAACAGGAGACAAGAATGCTCATCCTCTGTCGCGGTTTGCACGTAAGTAGTCTAGCCTGTTAATTTATTTCCTGAATGTTAGTAATAAACATATATTTGAAACAAGAAAGAAAGCCATGAATTCTCCTTTTCTCTAACATTTTAAGGACATGATGATGTTGACAACAACAACAATGATCATGTTGATTGTTCCTGCTGCCCACTACACCCATGGCAGAAGTCAACTCCCCAACTTTACAGCACAGATAATTAAAAAAAAACTTTAAGGAAAGTCCCCTGGCTGAAGGCATTTTTCACTGAGGTCTTAGATAGAGGGGATCCCCATGAGAACCCTCTGGCTCACCAAAGAAAAAGTCCTGTCCTTCCTCTAAGCCTCCTCCAGGAGTCTTGTCTTCGGGTATGGAATTCTATGAAGTGACTTGTGGACAGTTCTTTTTTTTTTCCAAAAAGTTTTTCATTTTTTAGTTTTTGCACATCTCTTTATGTGAGAATGTGATTCCAGATTATAACACTTTTACATAATCATACTTTCATTTCCAATCTTATATAATATCATCTCATTTCATTATCTATTTTGCTTATCTTTAAATAAATTTCCATTTTATATTTCAATTCATTAATTCAATATCAATATAATTTCATCCAAATATAGATTCCCAGTTCTTTATCCCCTATTATTTCCGTTTTTAGCTTACCACCTATTTTATTTTATATTACACATCATTCTTGTCCTTAATTTTCCCTAAGCCAATCATATAATAATAAACAATCTAAAGAAAAGCAAGATAAAGCAAAACCAATATATTTAGGATCCACATGGTATATCCCCTCAATCTATCTAATTTAATAATTCATTCCCCAACTTTAAGCATATTAACATTAAGTAATCAACTGTATATTTTAAGACATATATATTTTAAGGTAGCACCCCCTTAAATTGCTAGAATAACTTCCTAATATATCTCATTTCATCTTAACTATTCTTTTAGTCTTTAATAGTCATATTTTCCCTTTTCTACTTAGCCAAAATTTATATATTTTAGTACATTTCACTTTTCTTATAATCATTAATAATCATATTTTTTCTTCCTTACCACTTATTCAAAGTTAGTCTATATATTTTAATACATTTCCATTCTTGTTTTATTCCTCCAATACAAGGGTTCCTAACAGCATAATTCATATACAGATATGTGTGTGTGTGTGTGTGTGTGTGTGTGTGTGTGTGTAGGTCTAGGTGTGTTCGGGTCTTTTCCCATGTAAGATTAAGAGTATCTTGGCGACATTTTGGCGAGGTCCCACTCCTCAGGCTGGTGTTTTCAGCTTCGTGCTGGTGCAAGCAGTGCATCTGGCCCTCCTCCCATATATAAAAGGCACTACAGACAAAATCAGCAAGATCCTCCAAAAACACAACATTAAAACAGCATTCTGCACAAACAGAAAAATATCCACCATCCTAAGAAACCCCAAAGACAAAATCGAATTAGAAAACCAAGGAGTATACGAAATCCCTTGCACTGCCTGCCCCATTGGACAAACTAACAGAAGAATAAGTGCACACATTGAAGAACATACGAACTCAATCAAAAAAGAAGAACCGGCCTCTTCCCTGGTCCAACAACTCAAAGCCACAGGACATGAGATTGACTTTAAAAATACCAGAACTATCACCAAAACCGAACACTTCAACAGCAGAATAATCAGAGAAGCCATAGAGATAGAAAAATGCCCACACAGCATGAATAAACGAGATGACACCTCCCGCCTACCAGCCATTTGGAAACCCACCCTCATGAACAGACGAGTACCTAACATGAAGAATGACACCAGACCCACACCCATGAGGGCCACACAAGATGCCACCACCACACTTCCACGTAGAAAGCAGACTCACACCCACACAGAAGATGAGACACGACCATGGACCAGAAGCCACACTGCAGCTGCATCACTACCCACTTCAAACCCCTCTGAGCCATACATGAAGCAAACTGACACCCACCATGAAGATGCAGCACGACCACGAACTCGAAGCCAAACAGCAGGATCACAGCTCACCAGCTCAAATCCCACAGCAACTAAGACTAACCTGAGCACAACCAAGCCCCCACCTGAACAGAACACACCTCCAGCCAATCAGAACACGGCCAACCCCCAACCAATCTGAACACAGCCAAACCCCCCCCCAAAGAGAACACCCCCCCACCCAATCAGAACACAGCCAAGCCCCCACCCAATCAAGTGACACCCCCACTAGCAGTTAAAAGGAAGAAGCAGCTGCAAGCTCACATCACTCTGAGAAGCACAGAGCCAAAGACACAAGCCTGAAGATGATGAATGAGACTTCATTGAAATGTTGCCTAGATACTTCCAATCTTACGCGGGAGAAAACCCAAATAACCAAAGATCCACATACAAATACCCGCGAGAACCTCAGAAACACACACACACACACACACACACACATTTTTTCTTAAGTTTTCGCGGGTACTTACATGTATGGCATTCAGCTTTGTTCGGGTATTTTCCCATGTCATTGTAGTTGTGCTTTTAAAGTTGTAGCAACGTTTCGGCAGAATCTCATCTGCGATCATCAGGCTTCTGTATAGTATTCATCTGTGAGTCAGGCTTTTATAGTGGTTTCAGATTTAAATTTGGGGCAGCCTATTGCTGTGCCAGAATGTTTTTTTCTTCACCCTGATTGGTTGGGAGTCTTGGTCTGTGTTTATTGGTCTTGGAGTTTGCTGTGTTCTGCTTGATTGGTGTTTCTAATATCTCCTGTCTGTTTTTTGGCTCTTTTTGTCTCTTGATTGGCTGGCAACATTGTGTTACTTTATTGGAGGCCTTTAGTGCAGCTTGGCTTTGGGTAAATGGACGGCTATCATTAGTTAGGAAGCTAGGTTTCATCTGGGTGCCTGGCTGGGGTGTGTTTGAGCTGGAGGTATCAGGGGGGATCTGTCTGTGCCCAGGTGTTTGCCTGGCTTGTGGTGTGGAGATTTTTTTGTTTGTGAGCGCAGGCTTCCAAATGATTGACAGTCTGGTGGAATCATCTCTTCTATTCATGCTTTCTGGTCTTTTTTCAATCCCTATGGCTTCTCTGATGATTCTGTGGCTGGGGTTTTCTATAGTGGTTAGGGTTTTGGTGCCATTGAAGTTGATGCTATGACCTGTGGCTTCCATGTGTTGGACTAGTGAGGAAGTGTGTTCCAGCTTTTTGACTGCATTTTTGTGTTCATCCAGGCGGGTACTTATTCTTCTATTGGTCTGTCCAATGTATGTGGCCGGGCCTGATGCACAGGGGACTTCGTATATGCCTTGGTTTTCCAGGTCAATTTCATCTTTGGGGTTTCTAAGGATGGCTGCTATTTTTCTGTCTGTTTGAAGGCAGTCTTGATGTGATGTCTGTGCAGTATCTTACTAATTTTGTCTGTAGTACCTCTTATGTAAGGCAGGACAGCTGTTCCATAGGTCTGTTCATCTTCTGGGTCTCTATTATGTCTCAGTGTGTTTTTGTGGATCAAGCTGGTGATTTTGCTTTTGTGGAAGCCGTTGGCTGTCAGTACCTTAGTCAGGGTGCATAGTTCAGTCTTAATGTGTGTCTTGTCTGCCAGGTGTTTGGTTCTAGTAATTAGTGTTTTAGCCATGGAGTTTATCTGTGCTGGGTGGTGGTGGGATTGGGTGTTGAGGTAGCGGTTAGTGTGTGTTTTCTTCTGGTTGTGTGCTAGTGTGCCATCTGTTTTTTTTGTAGATTAGTACATCTAGGAATGGTAGTTGTTTGTTTGTTTCTGTTTCCATGGTGAACTTGATTTTGGGGTGTGTGCTGTTTAGGTGTGTTAGGAAATTGTTTAGGTTTTCTTTTCCATGGGGCCAAATCACAAATGTGTCATCGATGTATCTTAACCATAGTTTGGGTTTGTGGGTGGCATTGGCCAGGGCTCTGGATTCGAATTCTTCCATGAACAGGTTTGCAATGACAGGTGACAGTGGTGATCCCATGGGGATCCTTCAATTTGTTTGTATCTTTGTCCTTTGTATATGAAATATGTGTTGGTTAAGCAGTGTTCTGTTAGTTCCATGAGGTGTTTAGCTGGTTGGTATTTATTTTTGATGATTTCAAGGGTCTCTTTTATCGGGACTTGAGTGAATAGTGAAACCACGTCGAAACTTACAAGCAGATCTTCTTGCTCCACATGTAGATCTTTGATCATTTCCAAGAAGTGGTATGAGTTTTGTACATGTGAAGCTGGTGTTTCAGCATGGGGCTGTAGCTGTTTTGCTAAGTATTTGGCTAGGTTTTGTAGTGGTGCTCCTCTGGAGCTGACTATGGGTCTGAGAGGTATGCCTTCTTTGTGTATTTTTGGGAGGCCATATAGTTTGGGGCATCTGGAAGATTTTTCTCTTGGGATGATTGTCTGTTGGATCTCTTTGCTCATGTGCTAGTTATAATTTTCCTAACACACCTAAACAACACACCTCAAGGGATCTTGTTTGTACAACCAATAGTTTCCCATAGAGACATAAAAGAAGGAAATCTTAAATCCTTAGGTGGTGCTCTATATCACTTTCTTCTTAGAATTCTTTATTTTAAATCACTTTTCCATAGTATTAATATGAAATTTTATCAGTTCAAAATAAGTCCAGCATTTTATCTAATTCCTGATTACTGTCCAATGCTATATATTGTTCCAAATTTAGTCTCTAATTGTATATAATCTTTTTATTTCCAGTTCTTTCTTTATCTTATATTTTCCTCTTGTTTCTGATTTGCTGCTACCACTCTTTCAAATGAGGGCTCCTTCTTTCAGCATTTTCGGGGTTTTCAAAAAGAGTATTTAAAGTCTTTTATCCAGTTACATGCCACTCACCACTTCCATTCTCCAGCACAAAATTTGTGTCCTGGCAGCTTCCAGTCTTCAGGGCAGCCATTAAGACTGCCACTGCTCCCTGTCTTCTAGAGGAGTTTACCAAGCCAGGGAGGGGAGATGCAGCTCCCCTCAGCCCAGCTGGCAGTCTCCCACTCCTTCCCCTATCCCTCTGAGGTGGGCCTGATGAATCCAGTCCTTTAAGGACCCCTCCAACAGGGTAAGCATGGATCAAAGCTGCGTACAATCGCAGTCTCTGGTCCATTGTCAACAAGAATGCCACCGGAAGCTCTTGTGGACAGTTGTTCCACACAGTTTAGGTCCCACAGAAATGGGCTTAGAAGAATGTTGGTTGATAAGGAGTTGAGATTTTAGAGTATTTCCTATTACATCATTTGCTCTCCTAGAAAACATTCTGAGAGATAGTTGTGGTCAGTAAAACATACTTTCTCTTCTTTGAAAGTATGTCTGATCCACATTCAACTAGAAGCAAAAGCTGGACATTTAAATGACTGCTACAAAGTAGAAGGAGAATGAGAAATGCCAGATCATCTGATTCTAGCTTTCCTGATATGGAAAATATGCTGTATTTCATTGTAGTTTGCAAAAAATATTTCTAACTTTTCAGCAGTAAGTTTGCCTCTGCTAATGCAGTTTTCACTAGGTTTTTTTGGAAACAGTTTTTAAACCAAAGGCTAAGATAAAGTTTGCTTAAAATAATGAATTTTATTATTTTGGCAATGTGTAAACAATTGCATGTGCTCAATGTAAACTCAGTAGATGGATGCAAATAGGTGCATTATTCTCACAAAGTCACATAGTGGCAGTGTTTCTGTAAGGAAACTCTTCACTCTTCAAAAAATAAGTATAAACCCTTGAAAACTTTGTATTTCAAAAGAAATCTTTTTATTGAAGGGAGGTAAAAGCAAGTCAAAATTCAAAACAGGATGAGGTCCCTCAGGGCATGCTACTAGGATAAAGGGAATTGTATATATAAAATTATATATATATATATATATATAATTCCTTTCCCTCCATCGTCTCGTCTCTGGTTTAATACTTTTTTCTTTTGCCAAATAAATTTACTAATTCTTTTGTTCAAGTCTTCGAAGAATTTTTTTCCTAGTTTGACTGGCACAGTTTGAAAGAGATACAACAATTTTGGTAGTACATTTGTTTTAATGGTGACTATCCTTCCCATCCAAGAAAGTTGTAAATTTACCCATCTATCTAGATCTTTCTGTATCTGGTCTATCAACTTGTCATAGTTATCAGCCTTTATTGTGGAGCATTTTGCTGTAAGCCAAATTCCTAAATATTTTACTTTTTTCATTGTCTGAATCCCTAATTCTTTTGTCAGTTCCTCATTTTGCTTTTTAGTACAATAGTTAGATGGAAAAATTGGAGGTTGAAAGATGGTATTATTAGGTATGTTTAAATAATAGGAAGACTGGTACTTCAATGGTATATTGTGACTTTGAACAAAAAAATAATGAAGGACTATGTCTTAATATAAACATGTGTGTTAATACTAGGGGTAGCAATGGTGGCCTGATTAGAAGCTAGAATAGAGATAGAAATAAGTAATAGGGGGAATATTAACATATAATTTTTATATATGTTCTATTAATGGATTCAGAACATTTCTGTCCCCAGCAACCTAAAACTAATAAGGATACCAGTGCATGCAAAATAGATGTTTATGCAGGTAAGATTATCAACCTTGATGCCAACCAAAACCAAGCATTTAATAATGAGTGTCATACCATGTGCACTAATCAAACTGGTTGCAAGAAAGTAGGGGCAGGGAGGCACAACACAGGTTATGTAGAAGTAAACACAATGTCAGACGTAAAGATCTCAAGTGCCTATATACAAATGCACAAAGTCTGGGGAACAAATAGGGTGAACTCGAACTACGAATACATGAAGCTAGATATGATATAGTTGGAATAACAGAAACTTGGTGGGATGAAACCCATGACTGGAACATACTGGTAGAAGGATACAAACTATTCAAAAAAAACCAGACCCCATGAAACCAAAGATGAAAACCTCCTAGAATGCATATGGATCAATATAAAAGAAAAAAAGAATGACATGGCCATAGGTGTATATTATAGGCCACCCTATCAAGCAGAATATATAGATGTCCTTTTTGCCAGCCAACTAACAAACATATGCAGGAAACACACAACAATAGTAATGGGAGACTTCAATTATCCTGATATCAATTGGAAAACAAATTCTGCACCAAGTGAGAAATCAAATAAGTTCCTAACCAAACTAGCTGACAACTTTGTTGTCCCAAAGATAGACTTAATTCTTACAAACAGAGAAGAAGTTAGAGGGAGTTGAAACTGCAGGGACCTTGGGTGAGAATGACCGTGTCATACTAGAATTCAACATAACACAAACACAAGCAACAGAACATAATGACACCAGAGTCTTGGATTTTAAAAGAGCTGATTTCAATAAACTCAGAGAGAACTTGGGAAAGATTCCATGGATGAAAATCCTAAAGGGGAAAACAACTCAAGAATCTTGGGAAACTCCAAAAAGTATGATCATAGAAGCCCAGACCAGCACAATACCACTGGGAAAGAAAAACAATAAATTCAAGAAGAAACCAGCATGGCTACACAAAGATCTCTCTGGCAAATTGAAAGACAAAAAAGACAAGTACAAAAAATGGAAAGAAGGACATACAACTAAGGCAGAATATTAGTAGATAGCCAGAATCTGCAAAGACCAAGTCAGGATAGCAAAGGCTCAGAACGAACAAAGACTTGTAACAAAAGTCAAAGATAATAAAAAGTTTCTTCCAACATATAAATAACAAGAAAAAAATCAAGGAAACAGTTGATCCACAAAAGAGAGAAGATGGCAAGGAAGTAACAGGCAACAGAGAGAAAGCAGAACTGCTTAACTCATTCTTTGCATCTGTCTTCATGCAAAAAGACACTATAGCTCAACTCACCAAAAACATAACTGTAAAAGACAGACCAGAAATAAAAGTTAAAATAAGCAAAAAAATAGTAAGAGAACACCTGTCTGATCTTGATGAAAACAAATCACTGGGGCCTAATGGACTACATCCCAGATTTTTAAAGGAGCTGGCAGAGGTAATCTCAGAACCACTGCACCATATCTTTCAAAAATCCTGGAGCACCGGGGAACTACCAGAGGACTGGAAAAGAGCTGATGTGCTTTCCATCTTCAAAAAAGGAAAAAAAACAGACCCAGGAAACTAGAGACCAATCAGCCTAGCATCAATACCCGGGAAGTTCCTGGAAAATAAAATAAAAAAACAGATCTGCCAACATCTAGAAACAAGTAAAGTAATAACTAGCAGTTAGCACGGGTTTGTTAAAAACAGATCATGCCAAACCAATCTTATTTCATTCTTACTAAATTAGTGACTAAATTAGTAGACCAGCAAAATACTGTGGATATAATATATTTAGATTTCAGCAAGGCATTTGACAAAGTAGACCACAACCTACTTCTTAGTAAACTAGAAAAAAGTGGAATAGATAGCACCACCACTAGATGGACTTGCAACTGGCTGGCAAACTGTACTCAGTGAGTAGTCCTTCTTGGGTCTAAGTCTACATGGAGAGAAGTAAGCAGTGGGGTGCCACAAGGTTCTGTCTTAGGCCCAGTACTCTTCAATATTTTCATTAACGACTTAGATGAGGGAACAGAAGGGGAACTTACCAAATTTGCAGATGATACTAAGCTGGCAAGAATAACTAACACCCAAGAAGATAGGCTCAAGATCCAGATGGATCTTGACAGACTAGAACACTGGGCCATATCTAACAAAATGAAATTCAATGTAGAGAAAAGTAAAGTCCTACACTTAGGCAAGAAAAACCAAAAGTACACATATAGACTGGGTGAAACCAGGCTCAATAGCAGTAACTGTGAGAGGGATCTTGGGAGTCTTAGTGGACAACCAGCTAAATATGAGCCAGCAGTGTGCAGCAGCAGCCAAAAAAGTTAATGCAATCCTGATACAATGATACAATCAAGATCAAAGGAAATACTAATACAATGATACAATCAAGATCAAGGGAAGTACTAATACTACTCTATAAAGCCTTAGTAAGACCATACCTAGAGTACTGCATCCAGTTTTGTTCACCACATTATAAAAAAGATGTTGAGACTCTAGAAAAAGTACAAAGAAGAGCAACCAGGATGATTAGGAAACTGGAGGCTAAAACATACAATGAACGGTTGCAGGAACTGGGCTTGGCTAGTCTAGTAAAGAGAAGGACCAGGGGAGACATGATAGCGGTCTTCCAATATTTGAGGGGCTGCCACAGAGAGGAAGGGGTCAATCTATTTTCTAAAGTGCCTGTAGGCCAGACAAGGAATAATGGATGGAAACTGAACAAGGAGAGATTTAACCTGGAAACAAGGAGAAACTTTCTGACAGTGAGAACAATCAACCAATGGAACAGCTTGCCCTCGGAAGTTGTGGGAGTGCCATCACTTGAGACTTTCAAGAAGAGATTGGACTGCCATTTGTCAGAAATGGTGTAGGGTCTCCTTCTTGGGAGATGACCTAGATGACCTACAAGGTCCCTTCCAACTCTGATTATCTGTTAAATCTGTTAAATATAACAGAATATAAGTAATAATTTGATGGAAAAGATCAGAGGTTGAAAGATGGTATTGCCATGTATGCTTATATCATTGGCATTAAAATGGAACATTGAAATATTGAATAACTACTCTTAAAAAACATGTATAGCAATACTAGGATTATGTAAATTTGATTAATGTAACAATTATTATGATTATCATTATTGATGTTTGTATTAAAATGAGTAATACCCAGGGGCCACCTGTTCATATATTAATATTGGTGTATACTTAAAAATAAAAATCTAAGAAAACTTGGGGGGGGAGAGAAATTGCATAGTCAGATAGATATTTAGGCTGGATTTGACATTGTTATCTACCTATTGAGACCTTCCCAAGCATGTGAGAATGGTGTTAAAGATATTATTACTATTAATACTACACTGGGACTGGCTCAATTAGTAAATAACAACACTAAACAGCTGCCTCGACCTCATCTTCTGCAATAGCTAAAACTCAATTTATGGCCTACAAATTCAGGAACCCTTTTCAAACAGTGACCACAGCATGATTGACTTTTGTCTAAACTTACACCCTCATAAAAAGGATCATAAAGATGGATCCCCAAAATATAACTTTAAAAAAGCCAATTATGAACTCACAACTGCCAACCTATCATCTTTTGGTTGGCACATACTACAGAAGACCATTATAACGTTTTCTTGCTTGAACTCAAAAGACTCATTAAACTATATTTTCCATTGGTAACCCCCAAAAACAATAAAAACAAATTACCCAAAACAATAAGGAAACTTCAATCTAAAAAAAAAAATCTCTATGGCGAAAAACTAGCTACACAGCTAACTTTAAAAACCAATACAACACCTTATGCCGACAGATAAAGGCAGAAAGCAAGAGTATCTTCTAGGCACAAAATCCACCTGCACATTTTATAACTTTGTAAACACCAAACTTAAAGACTCAAGAACCATCCCACCCCTAAAAGGACCAAATGATATAGTAATAGTATATTATTATAAGATAATATAGAAAAGGCACTACATTACCAAAACCATCCCTTATTGGCCCTGATGCTTATGTGCATACTTCTTAAAAAAGCTATCCACTGCCATAGCAAAATCCTTAAGCATAATATATGAAATATCATTCAGAACCAGCTCCTTACCGAATCTATGGTCCTTAGCAACTGTCATCCCTATCTTCAAAAAAGGCGACCCCAGCCTGGTTGAAAATTACAGACCAATCTCACTATGTTGCATCTCATGCAAAGTCATGGAATCAATCATCAACCAATGCATTACCCTCCACCTACTCTCAAACAATCTACTCTCCCAAAAACTATTTGGTTTCAGGAAAAAATTGTCCTGCAATCTGCAAGTCCTACACTACAAAAACATATGGACTACACTACTTGACCAGGGTAAATCAATAGATGCAATTTACATAGACTTCTGCAAAAATTTCGACTCAATGATACATGACAAACTACTGTTAAAACTAAACTCTTATGGCATTTCTGGATCCCTTCATAAGTGGATTACTGCATTCCTGTCAAATAGTCAACAAATAGTAAAAATAGGAAACACCCCATCAAACCCTGCACCAGTCAACAACGGTGTCCCCCAAGGCACCGTTCTAGGATCTACTCTCTTTATACTCTATATAAATGACCTTTGCGATCACCTTATAAGCAACTGCATCCTCCTCAGTGATGACATAAAACTATTCAACACCACATGTTACTGTCCTTCAAAGTGACCTTGATTATGTGTCTGATTGGTCAAACAATTAGCAACTCCAAATGCTCTGTCCCACACATTGGTTTAAAAAAAAGTACATCAAATACAATCTAGGTGGATATGACCTTGTTGACGACCTTCACTCTGTCAAGGACCTTGGAGTACTCATATCTAATGACCTAAGTGCAACAGCATTGCCAAAAAAGCTTCAAGAGTTGTAAATTAATCTTTAAAAGTTTCTCCTCTGGTAATACTGAATTACTAACTAGGGCATACATAACCTTTGCTGGACCAGTACCTGAATACAGCTCAGCTGTCTGGAATCCGCACTGTATATTGGGCATTAATGCAATTGAGCATATCCAGAAGTATTTCACAAGAGTACTACACCCCCCTGTTCGCAACAGAATAGCCTAAACTACCAGGCTTGAGATTTTGAATTTGGACAACCTAGAACTAAGCCGTTTCACTTAAGCATAGTTTATAAAATAATCTGCTTTAATGTACTACCAATCAATGACTTTTTCACCTTCAACTGCAACAATATAAGAGCACACAACAGATATAAACTTAATGTACACCACTCCAAACTTGATTGCAGAAAGTACGATTTCAGCAACAGAGTGGTCAATGCCTGAAACGCATTATCTGACTCTGCTGTCACATACCAAACCCACACTCCTTTTCCCTGAAACTAACCAATATTGACCTCACCCCTTTCCTAAGAAGTATGTAAAGGCCATGCATAAGCATCCAATCATGCTTACCATCCCTGTCCTATTGTCCCCAATTATTTGTACCCATTTCTGTGCCTCTCCCACTATCCCCAGACCTTTGTGGGCCTCCCCCACTGTCCCCAGAGTTTGTCAGGCCTCCCCAACCATCCCTGGACCTTGCTGGGCCTGCCCCACTGGCCCTGGAGCTTGTCTGGCCTCTCCCCACTGTCCCCAGACCTTGACAGGCCTTCCCCACCATCCCCAGACCTTGAAGGGCCTTCCCCACCATCCCCCACATCCCCAGGCTTGCCTAGTGTGATTGAGAGGGCGGGCAGATGTCCTGGGGCTGCACATGCTGGGCGCAATTTGCAGCAGCACCGGGACAGGGCTCCTGGAGCAGCAGTGCCATGGCCACTGGCTTTCTTCCTTTTGTCTCCTGGGAGAAGGAAGAAAGCACTGCATGTGTAGCCCTGGGACATCCACCTGCCCTCCTGCTCCCTGTAGCAGCAGTGCCGCTCACTTTCTTCCTTTTCCTGGGGGAACGCACTGCTTCCGGCCCGGCCTGGCAAGTGGGTGGGCAGCTGGCCCTTGGGGGGATCTCTGCTGTGCTGGGGATGAGAGGGGCAGCGGAGGTGCCCATGTGCAGCAGCCCCAGTACATCCACCCTCCCTGCCCTCCTGGAATACTGCCACCATGGGCGTTTGATTTCTTTTATCATCCAGGAGAAGCAAGCGGCGGTGCTCTGAAAGGGAGAGCTGCTTCCAGTAGCCCCGACTCTGCCTCTACCACTGCCCGCTGTCTCTGCCTGCCTCTGCCTGCAACCTCCACCTTCACCTGCCATCCGCTGTCACCACCAGTGCTTTACCCTCCCTGCCATCCCCAGCTGCTGCCTACCACCTCTGCCGCTGCCTGCTTCCTTTCATCACCTGTGGGAAGCGAGGGTAGCGGAAGTGCCCCAAAAGGGAGGGCCGGAACTCCTGGGGCTGCTTCCCATAGCTGCTCCACTGCCTCCACCTGCTGCCCCCGCTGCCACCCACAGTGCCTCGAAAGGGAAGAAAAGAAAGAGGAAGAAAGAGAAAGGAAGAGAAATAGGAAGTAAAGGAGACAGTGTGTGTGTGGTGTGTGTATTTGTGTGTGTGAGAGAAAGACAAGAAAAAGCAAGAAAGAAAGGAAGGAAGAGAAAGAAATAAAGAGAAAAGGAAAGAAAGAGAAAGAAAGAAAGAAAGAAAAAGAAATAGGAAGAAAGAAAGAACAAAGAAAGAGCAAGAAAGAAAGAGGAAGGGAGAGAGAAAGAAAGAGAGAAAGAAAAAAAGAAAAAACGAAATAGAAAGAAAGAAAAAGAAATAGGAAGGAAGGGGGAAAGAGAGAGAGAAAACTCTGTGCTATTATTTTTAATTGTTCCATTATTTATCATATATTAATATTTTACGCTGTTCCTACACCTAGAATGATTTACTGCCTTTCTTTTGCTCACGTATTTTTCAGGGTTGTCTATAGCCCAGAGCATAAATACACATGTGTTTAACAGAGTTGAAAGGGACTATGGAGGTCTTGTAGTCCAGCAGTTGCCAACCGGTGGGCCACGGCCCACTGGTGGGCCGTGAGAAAATTTTGGTGGGCCGCAGAGAAATCTCACCCCCAAAAGCACCCCCCAAAAGCAATTAATCCAGGCTGTGCAGAAACACAAGGCTGCGCCGCCCATATGGTCTGCAGGAACCCTCCCCACCTACTCACTCCTTACCTGGTAAACTTGCCTGCTAAATTGCTATTTTTCCTTTTTCCGGCCATCATCTGTTCTGTTGTGCTGGGAGATTTAGATTAGCTAGGAAGCAGGAAATGGTTGGATTTCTTGCTTTCTAGCTAGTCTTTAGTTCTTCGGCTCAGGACAGTCAAATTTCCCTTAGGACTGAAGGTTTGCTTCCAAGCAAATTCAGTGCAGATTCACAGCAAGCAAATTTGAGAGACTGAGCTAGCCGATATCAGATAGATAAATCACTGAATGATTCTGTGAGCAACTCAATCTGCCTGCTTTGCCTGATTTTGGGTAAAAGTTGCTCTTTTTTTAAATAAAAAAAATCAATATTTACATGCATGGTGTGTTGTGAGTTAATTTTGTGAGTTTGCTTGCAAGCAAATTTTATGTGACAGACTGAGCTAGCCAATGTCAGATAGATAGATCTCTGAATGAATCTGTGATTCTGTGAGCAACTCAATCTGCCTGCTTTGCCTGATTTTGGGTAAAAGTTGCTCTTTTTTATAAAAAATTCAATATTTATATACATATTTATAATATTTACATACAAGCCATGCCCAGCCAGTCACATGACCACCAAGCCACACCCACAAATTAGGCCATGCCCACAGAACCGGTTAGTGGTCCCTGGGATCTAAAATTATGAGTTTGGTGGTCCCTGAGGTCTAAAAGGTTGGCGACCCCTTTTCTTGTCCAACCCCCTGCTCAGGCAGGAAAATTGAGGATGCCACACTGAGTAGAGGTCCTAGGAAAGGTGTTAGAATAACAGAATAATACTTAGAAGGGACCTTGGGGGAACCCTATACCATTTCAGAGAAATGGCTGTCCAGTCTTTTCTTAAAAACTTTCAGTGTTGGAGCACCCAGAACTTCTGGTGGCAAGCAATTCCACTGGTTAATAGTTCTCATTGTCAGGAAGTTTTTCCTTAGTTTTAGGTTGCTTCTCTCTTTGTTCAGTTTCCATCCATTGCTTCTTATTTGTGTTCTAATTTGCCTTTGGAAAATACATTGCCCCCCCTTCTTCCTGGCAGCCCCTTAAAAGCCTATTGCCTATCACACTTTTGGGCAATGCATGTGAGCCATTTCTTCCTTTCAGTGGTCCATGAAAGTACATCTGTAGTATGTAGATAATAAAGTCAAAAAAAGGTGAACAACATTTTTATTGAGCTATTGGCTGGGAGGGGAGGGGCAAGGCAAGACACCCTTGATGTGAGTGACATTGAATTGGCCACACCCACCAAGTCACATGACCACCAAGCATGTCCACCAGTCACATGACCATCAAGCACGCCCACCCAGTCACATGACCACCAAGCCATACCCACCAAATAAGCCATGCCCACAGAACTGGTAGTAAAATTTTTTGAATCCCACCATTGACACAATTGCTTATAAGATGATCGCAAAGGTCATTTATATAGAGTATAAACAGTGTGGGTCACACATCATATCAATGAACATAATACAATATACCAAATAATACTTTTTAATTTTTATTCTCTGATATAAAACCTCATTCAGAGAGTCATCTCTCTATCCAGTCTCATTTCAAAACGTTGTGGGCTTCTTTTGAATTTCTGAAGTATCAAGGCAGGAATCCACTGTTCATTGTATTCTATTCTGTGTGTGGGCTGTATACAGATACCCTCTCTGAGCCATCACCCCAACTCAGGGGAGCATGTGAGCCATCACCCCAACTCAGCTCCACCATGCATGTGTGCGTACCTCCCACTGGCCAGCTAGTCTTTGGATCTCTACCGTGCATGTGTAGGGGGCATGCGTGGGGGTTGGGAGGGCACACATATTGCATTTTGGAGATGCACTCGCATGCATGCACTTTGGGCACTTGGTGCTGAAAAGGTTAGCCATCACTGCCCTAGGTGATAAACCAGGTTTAATAGCAGTAACTGTGCGAGGGATCTTGAAGTCTTAGTGGACAACCCATTAAAGTCAGCAGTGTGCCTCAGCTTCCAAAAAAGCCAATGCAATCCTAAATAGCATTAAAAGTGGGATTCAATCAAAATCAAGTGAGGTACTAATACCACTCTATAAAGCCTTAGTAAGACCACACCTGGAATACTGCATCCAGTTTTGGTCACCACACTATAAAAAAATATGTTGGGACTCTAGAAAGAGTGCAGAGAAGAGCAACAAAGATGATTATGGGACTGGAGGCTAAAACATATGAAGAACAGTTACAGGAATAGTGCATGGCTAGTTTAGTGAAGAGAAGGAACAGTGTTCCAAAACTTGAGGGGTTGTCAGAGGAGAGGGTCCTCTGACAGAGGACAGAGAGTAGAGGGTCAATCTATTTTCCATGGCCAGACAAGGAATAATGGATGGAAACTAATCAAGAAGAGAGTTAACTTAGAAATAAGAAGAAATTTTCTGACAGTGAGAACAGTCAACCAATGGAACAGATTGCATTCAGAAGTTGTGGGAGCTTCATCACTGGAAGCTTTTAAGAACAGACTGGACTGTCAGAAATGTTGTAGGAGGGTTGGATGGGGGAGTTGGACGAGATGACCTACAAGATGCCCAGTATTTCCTAGTCGAACCACAGATAACTACAATGATCTTTTAAATATTAATTTTACAGGAGACAATGTTGAAAAAATACTATGCAATCTAAAACCATCTCTATCTATTGGACCGGACGGAATATGTGCCTACTTCTTAAAAAAGCTATCCGCTGCCATAGCCAAACCTCTAAGCATAATCTTTGAAAAATCTTTCAGGACCAACTCGTTGCCAAACCTATGGTCATTAGCCACAGTCATCCCTATTTTCAAAAAGGGAGACCCCAGCCAAGTTGAAAATTACAGACCAATCTCCTTATGCTGCATCAATCAATTATTAACCAATCCATTATCCACCACTTAGAGACAAACAACCTGCTCTCTAATAAACAATTTGGTGTCAGAAAAAAACTATCCTGTAATCTGCAACTCTTACACTGCAAAAACATATGGACTACACAACTCGATCAGGGCAAAGCAATAGAAACAATCTACATAGACTTCTATAAAGCCTTTGATTCAGTGGTACACGACAAACTACTCCT